TGTGTGTGTGTGTGTTCAGCAGCCTGTGTGAATAAGGTGCTGCTCCATCTGCCATGCTGGACTTTATTGCTCTATAGTCTGTAGTGCTATATCTCCTGAAATCATGACCCCATCTGATGTTATGATTAAAGCCTCCTCCAAAGACTGAGGAGGTCCCCATGTCTCTAAAAACCATGCATATAAAGGTTTTAATCATAGTGAGACTGAGCAGGCTAAAGGACATGAAGGCTGAAAACAAGTGTCAGTGCCATTCGCATGTTGTAACCTTCCAAAATTATTACTTTTCCAGCACTTCATGTATCTATATACATGGTTAACGATTCATAATGTCTAATTGTCAATCTCAGGCCTTTTTTTTTTTTTTTACAAGGTTTCTAAATGGAAGATTTGCATTTTTCATAAGAGGGCTGAAAATAAAAGGACTGACTTGAGATTAATATTCTGGGTCAAAAATACAGATGTTTGGTCTTCCCATGGCCTGCAATATAAATTATGCTACTTCTTGTTGATCATGTGACTTATGAAATGTCCCAGATTTTTAGAGGGATGTGTGTCAGGGTAACAGTACTGAGTGAAAACCTGGGGACATGACTAAAATGTGTATTTAACTAACACATGCAATGAATTTCCGATGAGAAAATGTATTTCAGTCTAATAATAATAATAATAATAATAATAATAATAATAATAAAAAGAGTACAGTGAGAGTGGGGACTGCACAAAATCCTATTTAGTCAGTGCTGTAGGTAGTTTTTATTAAGGTTTGACATGATGTACCGACTAAAACAAAGTGCGGGACACTTTTCTTGATACTTTAATGTATAATACAGATACCTTCCATGTATCTCTACGCACCCTCGGCTCGGAACAGGCCCAGGTTCGGCGGAACGACCCTGTTAACAACCCGCTGCCCGCACTACCGGAATCCGCCAGTCGGTGAAGACGTGGCGTGGCGGAAAACCCGGAGAGAGGAGCACAAAGAGAAGCATCCTGCGCAAACTCACTGACACGACAGCGGCTGTTGTTCCACGTGGACCCTGTCATTGACCAAAACACTCCGTCTCCGTGGCAGCCGGGGAGCGCGCGGGCCGCGCCGTTGCGCAGTGCAGACTGGGAGGCACGAGCAGGGCGGTGCGGGGCGGTGCGGGGCAGAGGTGTTCTCCAGACATGAACCTGTGAACGGAAACCGGCCGGATTTAAAGCTGTGCTCCTGTCCACACATCAACTATGCAGACAGGTAGGCTCGTATGACTGTGAGTAGAGAAGCGCAGGCTGTGTTTGTCCAGCTGTTACACCTCAACGAGCCTCTCAGTGTTACTTCAGCTCACATATCTTTACTCCTAATGCATGGGTAGCTACTTAACGAGCCGACAACTAGCCACCATTAACTTTATATGTGTTTTAATGCAGGCCCGTAATGTCACAGCAGCGAGGCCACATGAGTTGATCAGAATGAGTCAGTGTACAGTACGCAGGCTGTGATAATGCTGCAGTCAGTTGTTGGGTCATGTGTGACTGTGAGCATCGAGGCTAGCATCGCTGCTGCTCCACATGAGGAAGCGGGTTTATATATAGCAGTCTGGCTGGTTTGTTACTCTGTGCAACATAATGGGGATGAAGCAGCGTACTGTACGCATCCCACAGCAGCATCTTAATCCAAATATGTAACACTGGAGACGCATGGACATACTCACTGACCACTGGGGACAGTGTGGATGGACTCTGCTGAGCTATATATAGGTTGGTTTGAACTGATTTAGCCATTATAGACCATAAGGTCCACCATGAAACTTGTGTTGTGACATGTAGATGTATTTAGGCTCTGAAACAGTAAACATGTGGAAAGTCCACTTTGTACACATACACATCTGTGTTAAAAAAGGCTCTTTTTTATTCATTCACATTATGTCCAGATGTGAGGTTATAACATGTCTATGTGCTTGTAGGTGTGTTCATGGAGTCTCACCTGGGCAGGTTGTTCCCATGTGTCCTGTTAATGCTCATACACTTGTGCCTGGCTGCACCGGGTCTACCTGGGACACAGAGGTAACTCCACCTCCTTACTTTCACTCTCTCTTTTCTACACATACCAGTATCATCAACAAACATAATGGAAATATCATCAAGAGCTGCAATATCATAATGTATAAATGATGTAATTTTATTTCCATCTTTATTTGTTTATCTCTCAGGGAGGAATCAGTAGAAGCCCGCGCTCATTCACTAGCCAATCCCTTTGGCTCTGGAGAGGAGGAACGCAGGTGAGTGACACCTGGACGATGTGCTGCTGTTACACGTCCGTCTCATTTTAAGCCATGAATTTGCTCTTAATTAATAATTCTATAATATTTTCAGAGGATGATAAAGTATGTATTACATGGAATAAAGATATTTATTGTTAGGGTTTGTTTTGTCAGATTACTGTACGATTTAGACGTCAGTGCTAAAACCAGAAACACAACATGCAAACCACATTCCTGACTTGTACAACGTGCATTGTGTTTTAGTGGACTAAGCAGCTGCTGTCTGTGGACTTTGGCTGCTGTGTTAACGATGTGGCCTGCACCATTCACTGATAAGATTACATGAGCAATAAGTTTTATGTTACAATTATGATTTTATCTTTCCTTCGTGGAGACAGAAAATATAGATTACCCTCACACATATTGTATACGATGGCTCACCCTTGTATCAGTACAGGAGTATGAAGTTGCTCATAATGAATTACAGGTTTGATTTATATCAGGGAACATGGGAGTATGTTGTTGGTGACGAAGTGGCTGTAATTTCTTTCCACTGGCTGATAAGACTAATGGATGTTTACACGGCTCCAGTGTAAGCTTAAGTGTATTGAGTGTACGGCCAGGCAGACGTTTGTCAGTTGTGTAGAAAAGCAATTGATCTGCGCCTCCCTAAAGTAACAATGCATATTGATTCACATTGAGACCTAGGTTCAATCTGGATGGAAACAAGGCATTTTGAGATACAAATATCTTAATTGTAAGATTGTAAGAATGTTACAGTATTTCAACCATTTTGCCATGGATGTGAGCACTCCTACTGGCCTGGACTAGAAAGCTCCTGATATAAACTTTGGTCAACAGTGTTTCGTTCTCAGCTATCTGTAACAGCACTGCTACGTATACACTATTACAGTGTGCCCCAAAGGGTGTCTTCTTTCCGTCTGCTTCATGTAAGATGTGATATGGTCGAGCTTTGCAAAACAGTTAAACCAACTGAGAATATCAGCAAATACATGAATAACCTTTCTTTAAACACAATGCTTTTTGATGAGATGGCACCTCCTCCTGGTATGTGGAGTCGTGTTAACTTCTCAGAATCACTACTTTACCTACAGGGCGAGTCAGCCTGCCTAAAATAAAAAGATCCCTCAGTGTGTAATATAATGTTAATCAGCAATGTTTTAGCGATTGATGTACTCTGTGCTGTGTGTAACACAGGTTGCTGCAAAGTTACATTCAATCCACTCTGAAGGATGACCAAGGAGGACCAGAAATCAGCACCTGGGAGCAAGGTAGACATCTCCACCTACTGGTGTGACACATACATCATTACCAAATGCACATACTCTAATTATATAGAGAGTTAAAATTATTTTCTGTGACTTTGGCATGTTGAATCTTAAGCTGTGCAAGAAAATTCCTATTCTTTATATCTGATGACTTGTGATTCTGGCGTCTTTGTCCAAAACCCTCAGTGTTTAACATTACTGCAGTTGTGTTTTGTGTGTATACAGTAAGAGAGTTTCACACTGTCCACCCTCTGCTGTTATACACATGTGTTTGGTATTAAACATGTCAGTCTTCTTCTGCTTTGTGTCAGAGGTATTCTTCCTGTTTCGTCTCTATGACTACGATCGCAGTGGGCTGCTGGATGGCTTGGAGATGATGAAGCTACTCTCTGACTATAACTCCCATCATACACCGGGAGCACAGGCCAATGAGCTGGTAAGGCGGAGTGGCTGCAGGTGTGTCTGTGCCGCGTGTTTGAACTGACATTGTATTTGTGTCTATTTGTACATACCTAACACTTTCACTCTCTGCGTGTGTGTCTGTGTGTGTCTGTGCAGGTGGTGTCTATGGTAGATTTTTTACTCCAGACTCAAGATATAAACCAGGACGGCATGTTGGCCCCATCCGAGCTGCTGTCCCCTTCATTACCTCACACACAGGTACTGTACATTTACACACTCTCAACTCTTATGTAATGTAATGAGTACCTTTAAGCCACAACAGACAAAATACAGTGACAATTCAATTCATTTCAAATTCTGTATTTTGTTTTTGTCATTAGATAAATGTAAAAATGATGTTATAATACCAAGGATGTGTGATGATGGGATGAGCATGCACATCTACTTACTTGATTCTCAGCTTTATTTGTGTGTGACTGCAATAACATTACCTTTTTTTTTTTTTACTTCACCAGGAGCAGGAAGTGGCAAACGCCAGTACTGGTGAGGAGAAGGCAGCAGCAGAGGAGGTTCATGAAGAGTTGAAGCCTCATGAGGAAAAACAACCTCAACAGGAAGTAAAGGCAGAAGAAGAGGAACTCGTAAAGCAAGTAGACGAACAACATGGACAACAAATCCCAGAAGTCCAAGCAGCAGAACAAGGACAGAACCACAAAGACCCTGTTCATCTGGGGCAACCGGAGATATGAAGGCTCACACACGCTGATTTCGTCCACACTATTATCTCGAGAGGACTGATATAATTAAACACTGCTCTCAACTGAGAGGACTTCTTTATTCCCACAGATGATCTTTCCCTTGATTTGAATTCTTGATTGAATCTTCTGAATCTGTTTCAGCTGACTGTGGAACATGTAGACGCTTGATAAATGGAAATAGGGATCTGTTGTAATTATTCCTGTCACTTTATTGAAAATGTTTTCTACAACAATTACTTATTGGTGTTAATTATTAATGCAAATATTTCTAGAGCTGTAAAAGGGACAGAAGTCCTGAATTCAAAATGCAATATTATCCATATTAGTAAAACAGAAGCCATCATTAATAGAGATTAATACGTTGCAATATTTTCATTCTTTTAATTGTATTTATTTACCATTTTCTGCCATACCTGATCAAAAAAATGGCATATTTTGAATGTATTTGAGTTTTTCAATGTAGCGACTGTTTCACACATACACTGATTGGCCTTATAGTGTCTGACCCGCCCTAGACTAGACTAAGATGACCTCTGTTTAGCCAGTATGATAAGGCCCACTGGAATTTAATTTGGTCTGTATGTCTGAATTTCCTCAGCCTAAACAATGACTTAAACCATTGAATGAATTAGGTTATTCAAAAAACACATCATCACTGGCCAAGTCTTACTTTCTTTTGAAGCACTTGAATATGATTTAGTCAAACTTTTGATGATAATGTGCCTGAATGAATTGGGAACCATGTAGTTACAGAACAGTGCTGTTTTCTTAATGTCTTACATCCTTCTACCAACAGTCTTTCATCTTCATAATTAAGGTCAGAAAGGCCCTGTTGAAGTAGATGTAATATGACGTTCACCCTTTATCTGCAAACTTCAAATCTGTTTACAGTATAGGGTTTATTATTTGTTGTATTGTTTTGTTTACCCCTTTTTAACCATTTCTGCATTTATACAGCTGGAGAAAATAAACATTTCTTTGTCCCTCTCCTTTTCTTTCTGTCTCCTGTTTGTATGATTGGTCAGAACTCACAACATAATACATACAAACAAACAGATAAATAAATAAAATAGAACAACTTTTTAAAGACTTGGCTTTGGGTAGTTGTACAACCTGTGAGCAGTTATCTTAGTTAGCTCATTAACTTTCACTGTTTATATTCCTCACATTGGTCTTCATCATCACCATCACTG